AGAGAAACAATGATGAATGTTTAAGTCCTTGTCCTGAAGACACTTAGAACCAATTAGTAGATAGAAGTTAAGAATAGAAGTCAAATAATGCCTAATTTTTTAAAGAAAACAAAAAACTGATCAATTACACAAGGAAAGGCCCACAAAAGTTCTGTGGGATTCTCAAAGTTAAGTAGAAGTTCACATGTGGCTGGAGAAATCCGTGAAGGCCTGTGGAAGACGGGGCCATACAAGGTGGTTCTTGAAGGATGGGAAGGACATCAACCATTAGGGCTTGGGGAAAAGATACCCCAGGGAGGGATAGCAATAGACAGAAAAAGGAAGAAAGCAAAGGATGAGTCTAAAGAATGATAGGCAATCTAGTTTGGCTACTTTATTATGTCTAGGAAACAGTGTAAACTAAGACTGGAAAAGAAGGTGAAGACCAGATCATGGTGGTTTTGACTTGCTTATGGTACCTGTCCAGGATTCAGGAGGCAGCAAAGATTGCATGATGACCCTGTGCAGCATGTAGCGTGATAAGAGCTTTGATAAAGAGTACTTTAATGTTGTGTGTAACGTCAGGATTTCTAGGAGTAGAGACCAAGCAGAAGACTGTCATACAAATATTCCATTACAGAGTGTTCTTAGGGAAAATCTATGAGGCAGTAAGAGAGAGCAAGGGGAAAAACTAGGCAGAAACATAGTTTCAGAAGTCTCACTTCCTTCTCATCCCACAGGGAATTCTGGGGTGATAATTGCACCAGAGTTTGGCCTGCCAAGAAAAGGAACTAGACTGTTAGACTCCTGCATCAGTGAAGCATGGATCACAGGCCATGGTGAAAGCAAGGAGAGAGAAAGGTTCAGTGTAATTCCCCAGGTATCTTTTGCAAGGTGGTTTCTATTAGCTAGATAGATAATAGCATATCAAACAATGGATATTTGTTCTGTGAATGAATTGGTGGCAGAAACAGGGCTAGGGTGTTATAACTGACTGGCTTGAGGACAAGAAAAAATAGAGACAACTGAGATACTGAGTCGAAGTAACTGGGAGAAGAATGGTGACATTAATGAAAAAACAGGGTCTGGTGAGCCAGATGCCAGTGGTTCATGCCTGTAATCCTAGCTACTTAGAAGGTTGAGATTGGGAGTATCAAGGTTCGAGGCCAGCCCAGGCAAATAGTTTGGGATACCTCCATCTCCAAAATAACCAGAGCAGAATGGACTGGAGGTGTGGCTCAAGTGATAGAGTGCCTGCCTAGGAAACATGAAGCCCTGAGTTCAAACCTTAGTCCCACCAAAAAAACAAGGTCTGGGATTAAAGATTCTGTAACAACAAGCTTGCTTGGAGGTGGACCCACTTCGAGCTGGGGAATTGATGGGCAGAGATGTCAGCAGAATTCCTAGACAGTTGCTTGGTGACTCGTTACTACTGTGGCTATTTCCTGATCTCCTACTAGATCTACGCATTGCTGAGAGCCCTCAATCCACTATGTGCCTCCTTGCTCTCGTTCACTATTTTTTCTCCTCCACCTTTCTTCTTTTAGGGTCTTCTCATTTTCCTATTTACTAGTTTTTCTCTTCATCCACTCCCTGTGAGCCAGATTCAAATTAGTCATCACCTTTAACAACTTTTTCTTGCCCCAAACTCAATTACAACATCCTACTCTATTATTTCTCCTACCACTTTTTTCCCTGAAACAAAGATCTCCCGAGTATGTACTTTGTGTCAGGTGTGGAGATAGAGAAGCAAATAATAGAAAAACAAATCCTGCTGTTGCCATGCCTCCATCATCATTCATCGCTATCTTCATCATCATGCTTTGAGTTCCAATCCTTAGGGCTGGAGGTGGGACCTCCCTGCTTCCACCCTGTGAGTTATTCAGGCTGACTGATAACGCATAGTATTTAAAAGATTTTGATCATTCAAAGGAAAAGTAATAAATTTTTTTAATTTCATAAGAAAACCATTAGAGAAAATATGCAGGGGATGGGAAGAAGCAAGAGACAGAGAGGGAAAGGAACTTGGCACTTGCTTCAGACTTATTGTGGGGTCTCTTCTCAAACTTTTTTTAGTACTGGAGTTTGAACTCAGAGTCTTGTACTTGCTAGGCAGGCCCTCTGCTATTTGAGCCATACACCAAGCCCTTTTTGTTTTAGGTTATTTTTCAGATAGGGTCACAAGTTTTAGTTTTTCCCCGGGGGCAGGCCTCTGAGAGGAATCCACCACTTGGCCAAACAATTTATTAAATGTTGCAACATTGCTGACTGGTCTGGGAGACTGTTTCTCGAGTATCACTGGAGGTATAACAGTACTAAGCAAATAAGCACAATAAATTAGCACTCCTTGGTGGGTATAAAGGCTGATCACAAAGAAAAGTCTGCCCAGCGTCTGAAAGGTGAAAACAGACTAAAGAGAAAGATCATCCTATGTATATCCACAGTGAATTCCCTGTCAAGCAAAAGGCTTCACGTGTGCATATTTCACCATGTCAACTACCTCTGTTCTTTTACCATCGGGATTTCTTTTCCTTTCACAGCTATGTGTGAACCTGGATGCAAGTTTGGTGAGTGTGTGGGACCAAACAAATGTAGATGCTTTCCAGGATACACCGGGAAAACTTGCAGCCAAGGTCAGTACACCAGCCTAGGCTCGTAAGACAAATTTGATCACTGAAAGATGGCCTGTAGGATTTCTTAGGTTATTGTAGTTGAGTCTTCAAATGTATCTGGTTTCAGGATGAAATCTTTTCAATCAATCTTTTCTCCTTGATAAGTATAAAAAATTTGAAGTTTTGTCAATAAAAGGCCTTTTTTAAAATAATTTTTTTGCTGTGCTGGGGATGGAACCCAGAGCCTTGAGCTTGCTAGGCATGCCACCAAGCTAGATCCCCAGTCTATTGGTTTTTTTTAAGACAAACTAAGTAATGTATTTTTTTCATTTAAAAAAATCCAACAACAGAAAAAGATATAAATTAAAAAGTAAGAGTCTCACTGGGTGATGGTGGCTCATACCTGTAATCCTAGCTACTTGAGAGGCTGAGATCCAGAAGATCTCAGTTCGAGGCCAGCCCAGGCAAATAGTTTGTGAGACCCCCCCCACCTCCAAAATAATCAGAGCAAAATGGAAATGTGGCTCAAGTGTAGAGCACATGCTTTTCAATCTCCAGTCTCACCAAATTCTTATTATAACCATAGTTAATGATTTCTTCTGTATCCTCAAGAGTCCTTTTCTATGACCATAGAAACATCAGTATTTCTCATAAGTATCTTTACCTGTCAGCACAGGCAGGGCTACATCATACTTGCTAAGGCCATGTCCCAGTTTTGGTTTTTTTGTTGTTGTTGTTTTTGGGTTTTTTTTTTTTTTAGCTTCTAGTGTGAAGACTATCATCACTTATGAAGCAAATACTTTATTTAACCAGTATCACTTATGCTGTCTCCAATCTCTTGCCATTACAAACTCAAAAATCATCTACTTATATCCTAGCGCTCTTGAGTGAGTATTTTGTGGGATGAATACCTAAAAATGTAATTGGTGGATTAAATAGTATGCATATTTTATGTTAACTGATACATTTCCAAAGGCGATTTGTGACCTTTGTCCTAGGCTGTTTATCTGAAGACATTGAATAGTTTATTTATAATATCTACAATAGTAGTTCTCAACCTGGATGATTTCATCTTTCAGGGAGAGTTGCCAGATAAAATACAGATGGCCATTTACATTTAAATTTCAGATAAACAACAACTAATTGAATAATACATGTTTGTTCCAAATATTGTTTGGGGCATACCTATACTTAAAAGTATTTAGTCATTTATCTGGAATTCAAATTCAACTGGGACTGTATTTTTATTTACCAAATCTAGGAGCCTTACCCCAGGGTACATCTGGCAGTGTCTAAAGACATTTGGAGGTGGTGCTGGTATCTAATGAGTACAAAGCAGGGATTCTACTGAACATCCTACAATGCACAGAAAAGCCTCTACATCAAAGAATAATCTGGACTCAACTGTCAACAGAGGTTGAGAAGCCCTGGCATGAACAAACTTAGAATAATTTAGAAAGTGTTCCCAGTCCTATAATAAAGTTGAGTAAAGAGCAGCAAATCAAGTTTAGCTTATTCTTAAGCTGCCAGAGTTCTGGAAGGGAGAGTGAAATTTCAGTGAAGGGCAGTACCCACTCCACTCTACCATTCCCAGTCCTTGCTGCCAAGCCCAGACGTTAGCAACGTACACTGAAGCAGCCTTTCTTTGAGCTGCCAACCCTGCAACCTCTGAGAAAAATCTCTGAATCTCCTCTGTCCTATCCAGCATGGAGATCAGGAGCCCCAGCGGTGCTTCTTAGAACTCCATCCAACTGCTTGAGAGAGGTGCATCATAAGTGATAAGTCAGCTGTATCCCTTACGGAGGTTTCACACCAGAAAACTTGCTTTTCCATATGTTTTGGATTCTATACCAAGATACTTTGTCAAGAGATTTGAAATAGAAATCATGTTTTTCATGCCAGTTTTCAAGTCCCAGGAAAATATAACATTGAGGGAATGGTCCAGTTAGCTCAAATTTTAGGATTGTCTGTCTTCTCCCCACAGCCTCCCTGCCCCATGGCAGCCTGAGTCAAAGTCCACATATATCCATTCATGGCAACAGGCCTCAGCTCTCAACTGATGTCTTTCCTCAAAATGCTCTGTCCACAGATGAGTGAGTCATCTCTAAGTGAGGGCCAAGTGATGGGATAGTCCTCGGTTTCCCAGTATGTCCAATCAGCATTTTTTCAATTTCCCCCTTTAAAAACAGTTAGGGTATGTGAGGAAGATGGTAGGGTAGAGGAGACAGGCAATGGAGAAGGGAGTTTCAAATGTCCAGCTGAGGTATTAGAAAATCTCCATATAAGGATCTTTTTCAGAAGCAACAGCAGCCACTTCTTTATTTTCAAGGGCACACACTACCTGTTCCTGTGAAATTTGGTGGTTTTCTCCTTTCTGTATCTTCCTTGGGGGAGTTAAGATATGAGGTCCCTCACATATGAGCACATTCCCAAAGACCACATCCTTTACTCATAATCCTTTTTAAAGATTTATTTTCCTCCTGTGTCATTTTTTATTTTAAGGAAAATATTACCTGGTCTTAATGTTTAAACTGTTTTTTCAGAAAACATTGAAAAGCACAGAAAAGAAAGATACCTTTATTATTACCACCTTAATGACATCCATGACTAGCGTTGAGAGCATATCCTCCCAGGCTTTTTTTTTTTCCATGTATATTTTTGTTTTGTTTTACTTTTTCTTAAACAAATTTTGGGTTGATCTATATGCATAGCTTTATAAACTTGTCTTATCATTTAACAACATCTTGTAAAAGTCTTTACCTGGCATTAAATGTCCTCCAATCTAATCCCAAGTGGCTGCCTGCCAAGGGTTCCCTCTAGAAGGGTGTGAGCCAGGAGCCAGCCCAGAGCCCACCAAAATCACAACAATGCTCTTGCTATCTGTCATAGGCTGCTTAGGAAGGCATTAAAGGCAGAAATATCTAAGTTGTATATTTCTAACTTTTATTCAAATATTATACCCATAGAATTGTGCATATGTCAAAAATGTACAACTTAATAAATTATCACAAACACTGGTGTAACTGGTATCCAGATCAAAACCCAGAAATTTAGCAGCCCCACCCCCACCTCAGAAGAGTGCCTTATCCAGTCACTTTCACCCCCAATTAAAAAACCGTATGTTGACCTCTTCTATCACAGATTAGTTGCTCCTGTTTTTAACTTTATATAAATGGAATCATGCTGTATGTATGTATTGTGTATCCAGCTGCTTCTACTCAATATCAGGTTTGTAAGTTCATCCATCGTTGCCTATAGTTGTAGTTTATTCAATTTCATTGCTGTATATTGTTCTACTACTTGAATATACAAGTTTTTTATCCCTCTGTTAGGATGTAATTGAATTAATTCCAGTTTGAGGCTGTTAAGACTAGTGCTATAATGATCATGATCACTTTAGTATGATTTTTTTGGTGAGCATAATCCAAAGTTTCTGTTGGGTATATAACCTGAGACTGGAATCACCAGGTCATGGGTATGTCTCTGTCTAACTTCAGGAAATTCTGCCAGTTTTCTAAAGTGCTTATCCCAATTTATATGCCCTCCAACATTGAATGATCATTCCATTTGTTCCACATCCTCACCAATCCTTCCAAATGGAATTTTATAACTCACGAGGAGGTTAGTGGTAGGATCCAGGGAAGTCAATTCACTTGTCCTTCCCAAGATTGGCACCTGGTACTGCCCATCTGGATGTTCCCCAATTCAGTTAACCTTTCTCCATTTTCTACCTGCCCCTGCAGATGTGAATGAGTGCGGAGTGAAACCACGGCCATGCCAACACAGATGTGTGAATACACATGGCAGCTACAAGTGCTTTTGTCTCAGCAATCACATGCTCATGCCAGACGCCACGTGTGTGAGTAAGTTTCAGCAGCCAGGCAACTCTCAGTCAATGTTTGAGACTTGCCTTTTGCCATATCATGTGTGGGAAAGGCTGGCTGCAGTTGTTTAAAAAAAAATCTATAACATCACCCCAGACTAAAACATCTTTGAGCAGTTACCTTTTTAAAAATTATGATAAAATAAACCATAAAATTGATCATCTTGACCACTTTAAAGTATACAATTCAGTGGCATTCAGTACCTTCACAATATTGTATAAGCATCACCACTATCAACTTCCAAAACATCTTCATCACCCCAAAAGGAAACCTCCATTAGCAGTCACTCCCCACTCCGCCTCCTCACTGCTCTTGGCAGCCACTAATCTGCTTTCTGTCTCTATGGATTTGCCTCTTCTAGACACTTAATTTATAAATAAAAAAAACTAACTGGAGAAAATAAATTATCTATCTCCATATGTACAGGGATGGGTTGGGTTCCATCATGAAAGTAAGCATGGTGAACAAAATGAGTATATTGTTTTTAGGGAGGTAATAAATTTTCACGCCATCTCTGGCCATCAATCCTGCCCACTAGCTACCTTTCTCACGCCCCTTGCCCTGCTCCCAAAGATTAGTGAGTCTCACTGGAAATATATTTCGACTCACATTCCTGAAAAGAAAAGCCCTCTGTGATAAAGAAAACCTCTGTCCTGTGGGAGGGTGAGAGTCTATATCCATTCGTTTGTTGAGAGGGGAGGCTTTTCAGGTTTAATGTTACAGCTGAAAGGCAAACCCATGCTCCCTGCCTGCCTTCCCACCTCCACTCCTCTCTCCCTGTGTCTCTTCCCTCTGCCCTAAAGTCCCCAACAAACCCAAGCCCTGTGATTCAGCCAGCTTCCTAGGTTGCAGTCACATAGACTCACCAGCCCACCATGGGATTTCCCAAGGTTATACAATCTTGCTTAGTGTAATGACTCACCAACCCCTGGCTCCTCCTTGTCCTGTCACTCTGGCAAAAATGCCCCTAGACCTCCATTCACTCAGAGTATCCATTAATAAGCAAGCCTAAGAGATAAAGCAGGCATCTAAAGTGTTTTTGAAAATATCCTTATTATTATAAATTAAACAGAAACCCACATGAAACAAATGCATAGCTTAATGAATTCTTGTAAGGCAAGAACCCTTGTAACTACCACCAGAACCTCCTCTCCTGAGCCCTCCCCACAGGGGACCACTATCTAGGCTTTTAGAGTGATCACTTAAAATTTTTAGAAAGACATATACTAATGAATATTTCTGGAACATTCCATGAAAACTTCAGTCAGTGCCCCCCCCAAAAAAGGTATTTTTTTTTCAAAATGGAAAGATAGAATTGTCTCAGATTTTTAGGCTTAAGTTTAAAAGAAGATAACTAAAAAGAAAAGAAGACATGAGTAATATAACCATCAATAGATGTTTGTTACATTGTTTTGTTCCCCATATCTGTGTTCTCATTCTGTTTCTATATATGTAGGGATTACCTGCCACTCCCTGTTTATACCTTAAAGTGTAGCCCTAGCCTTCTCTCCTGGGTGCTGATTTTATTCCACCTGGCTTCTTGCAGTCTCTTGTTCCTCTGGGTGACTGGCATGTGATGGAGGGAATATATTCACCTCCTCGTGTGGACTGGAACCATAAGATCTCTTTAGCTTCATGCATTTATGATCCACATGTACTGGATCCCTGCTAAGGAAGTACATTTTTGTGAGGCAAGTTATGTTTAGCAAAAAGTGACAGAAAAATCCAACTAAAATATGTCATTTACTGAAGAAAAAAAAAAAAAACCTAGAGGCAAGCAGTTCCAGAGTAGCTCAGTAAGGACTCAGTCCTCACAGACCTCAGAGTACTGATTTTATTTTCATGCTTATGGCCTTGTAGTGACAGCATGGCTAGCTCAGCTCTAGATGTCATACATGTATTGAAGGTGGATAACAATAAGGAGATGGAGGTGACACAAGCAAACCAAGAACTCTTTCATGCTTCTCCTTCCTTTTACCATTCAGCAACATCTTCTGCAGAAACCCCACCCTCTGATTGGACTTATCTTTATACTTTATTGGCCATACTGAGTCACGTGGGTACCCCTTACTGCAAGGGAAACTGGGGAAAAAAATACGTATTTGGCTTCCCAGCCTCGACGGTGAAAATGGCAAGAAAAAAAGAGGTGCAGAACGCCTCTCAAGCAGCTGATCAGCTGTATCTGCCACATTTTCTAATACAAGTACCTGAAAGACCAAGTCTTATGATGGAAGTGACTCCCACTGAAGCAATATATATGTGAAAAGATCTGTAGAGTGGGTTCTCTCACCCATTTGCTCAGATTGATAATCTACATCAGTGGTTGCTTTTTACCTTTTAGAGATCAGCCAAGTGACATAAAGGAGTGACTGAGCACATAGAAGGGGAGAGAGAGATGCAGTCTGTGGGCTGCATGCCCAAGGTCAATGTATTTACCAACAAAAAATACCATGAGTAGGATTTGGCCCAGGGCCACCAAGACACTGACCATGTCCAGATTTCTTTTGGCTTTCTGTTTGGGACTCAGACTAGAAACCATGGGTGACATTTAACATCCCAGAATTCAGAGATAGTTTCGTAGTATTTCAGTGAGTATAGGCTAATAATCCTCTGTACTTTTGCAGACTCTAGGACGTGTGCCAGGACAAACTGCCAGTATGGCTGCGAAGACACAGAAGAAGGGCCACGGTGTCTGTGTCCATCTTCAGGACTCCGCCTGGCCCCAAATGGAAGAGTCTGTCTAGGTAGAACAGCATGAATCACCTCCATTTCACCTCTTCCCTTGACTTCCCTTTTACTGAAGTCCTTTTTCCACTCATCACCATCAACTTCTTGAGCAGACGTTGCAAACTCTTAAAATGCAGATTTATGTCCATTTCTGAGATGATATCTTTAGCCTTTTGTGTGCCAGACATACTTTGGGCTATTAGGAAAAATACAGGAATATATTTCTCTTGTAGTCCTGACTGCCTTATGCTATAGTGGAAAAAAGAATAGAGGTAATTTTATTTTTAGCATGTTTACCTTGCATATTTTACTTTAATTATTATCCAATAGATACTCCACTACTCGTTCAATGGGTAAGATCCTAATGGCCATTGGGCTTTATTCCAAGTTCTAAATTATATTTTCCTGGAGAAAATCCATTTGCTTATTTTTCTTCACTAGGACATTAGCAAAAATAGTATATACCATCTACGTTTTTTAATTAGCATGTAATCAATTTCATATTGTCTTAAAACTTGCCCTAATTATATAAACTAAATATTCCATAATTATTTCTGACTAGAAAAAATGAGCAGATTAAATCAATCATATTAATTGAGCCTTCACTTATAACTGAATTTAATCAAACCTATGGCTTACAACTTTGGTCCCTCACTCTCCCTTATTTTATATTGTATCTTAAGTTGTAGGGTGAGCAAGTAGTTGATTTTTGGAGGTGATCCCAGGAAATACTGGAGTAGGGAGGTGATCCAAGGAAAGGAAGGAAGGTATAAGCAAGCACTGGGTAAATTCAATGGGCAGGTTAAATGGGCTATGGGTACCCTGGAAGACCAGGGAAAACCACCTCAAGAGTTTTCCCTCTGGGACAAGGAAGCTGGGTGTTTTTCCATCAACTCCTGCCCTTCACTGATGGAAGTCTGCTTCAAGGGTGACTCCCCAGTCCTCCCAGCTTAACCCACGTGGGGATCAAAGCAGAATGTCATGAATCCAGCAAGCATTCACTTTGAGGGCTAAGGGGCTATGGGTAGGGCACCCACTGAGCACCCTCAGTGACTGAAACATTTAATCCATTTTTGTGTTTTGGTTCCTTTGTGAATTTGAATTATGTTCAACCATCATATTGTTATATACAATATATTGTATGTGATATATACAACGTATTATATATTGTATATGCATACAATATCATAGCAATTTTATTGCACTAAATATGCATAATATTTAGATCAAGTGAGCACATAGTCTTAATAAGGGATATCAAATGAAACTAGAATGTTGAAAGAGTTCTTCATATTCTTTGGTTTAAATAAGCAAATACAAGTATGATTCAATAACCCTTACTTCTTCAATATAATAGAAATATTTTTCAGTCAATATGCTGGATGTTTATTTATCCTAAATATATATAATTTAATAATGACTGCATTTAGTAAGATCAGCCAAATAGATTCTAATTCAGTTAAGCAACTTTAAAATATATATACATGTAAATTAAAATGTTGTCTTCTCTTTGAGAGGAATCAAAGATTTAATTATGTTTACAAAGTTTAGTACTCTTTAGTAATAGGATTTACATGACAAGGCTAAATCTTGACCAAAGTGAATCCAAGTTTTTACTTACTTCTTTGATTTGTTGTATGCCATTTTAATTGGAAAAGAAAGATGATGCACATGAAAATGATCACTGAACAATAATTTTGGTCAATTTAACACTTATTTGTTATTTTAAGAATGCAAGGGAAACAATAAGCTAGCACCAACTTGCATGTTTAACCACAGGTCACTGCCTGGTCTGGAGCTGCCTGATTCACAAATCCACGTCTGCTCAAATAAACTCTGAATTTTTAATGTGAAAAAAAAAAAACCAAAAGGACAACAAAACATCTACTTGATTTGATGTCTGAAAGTTAAAGCAAAGCCTGAGTCTTAGTGGATTGGTGAAGATAGCTATCAGTCCCTCTGTGATAACGCTCTCATGGTAGAAAAGGGACACGCCTATTGTTAGATAAATGGCTTCATTGTACAATTACACTTGACCTACAATTTATGCAGAAGTGCATTCCTATACAACCACATTTCTATGATTTGAGTTATTATTACAGGAGCCTTGAAGGGGGTTGTTATTTAATTCTTTTGTAAAATGCAAACCTTAAATGTCTGTACATTTGGTTTGCTTAAAGTATAGTTGAGTCTATCTTCAAAAATTGTGTATGTTATACAATATAATTAGTAGCTGAGGAAAATATTTATTCATTAAGCACACATGTAATGCATAGGTACCAAGTGCCAGACACACACGATGCCCCAGAAGAGCTGCGTAAGTTTAACAGCAAGGTAACTCCTCCAAGAAAAGATATACGTGGTGAAATAAATTCATGAAGGGAAGAATTTTATGTGTACCCAGTGGGAATCTAGAATACTTCCAGGAAGATATGATATTGCCACTAGATAACTGATTTTCTAAGCAAGGGAACTGCACATGTATATGCTTACTGCATGGTGGGGATGTGAGGGATGCATGCAAGTGTGCATGTGTGCATTGGAAGTACTTTTCTTGCAGTCACTAACACCGTCTGCTTCCACACCCTAGACATTGATGAATGTGCCTCCGGCAAAGCAGTCTGCCCATACAACCGAAGATGTATGAACACATTTGGAAGCTACTATTGCAAATGCCACATTGGTTTCGAACTGAAATATATCAGTGGCCGATATGATTGTGTAGGTAAGATTCAGTGGTACCTTTTCCTTTTTTCTCTCTCCACCTCCACTAAGCCTGTAGGCTTTCTCTATAGATATTTTGATGTCAATTCAGTCTGTTAATTGAACCACCTACTATACTTACCAACTTAACAACACAAAAAGATTAAATTGTCTAAGCTTCTGGCATTTAGGGATCTCCAATAACATATTAGTGATAAAGCCAGGTCAATAAAGACTTAAAGTAAGGAATATAGCTCTATTATGAAGGCAAATATCTTGAGATGGTTCCTGAGGGATTATTTTTATTTGGTAGGTTTTGTTTATACTTTTGGCTCTGTCTCCAATTGTTCACAGTGGTTCTTCACTGTTCACTGGGAACAGTGAAATGCTATTTATATTTGATAAAAGAAAGACTTAACAAGACCTCAGTGGTCCATTCATAACAGTTTCCATCAGGATGGCTTTAGAAAAATGTATGAAGGACTTAAAGGAGCATGCTCTTTCCTCTCTTCTCTTTTAACCCTTTCATAGTTCAGGCTCTAAATAAAATGTTCCATTTCCATAGTCACCAAAATCACTCTCTGCTGAGATCCTGGTACCATTCAACTCTTGGCCTAATCTTCATAATTTCAAATATTTGATGTCTTTGTGAAGAGGTCCCAAGTCTCAAAGAGCATGTGAGGTACCTGAAGAACCTCTGGATGCATTCCCATTCCCCTTGGCATACTGTCCCATAGTTAAGGGAAATTTGGGCTCTCTCTAGAGTTCTATTCATATAGTGTGTGCATGACATGGAAAGCTAACAGTTGGGAAAAATTGGATTTCTTTCAATCCTCCACTCAGGGCTTCTCAGGACATGTCTTGTGTAGTCATGTTGGGGCAACATTCCTTTGTTGGATTTTGAACCATCTTGGGAAACCTCCACAGCTTTTCCCTCAAATGTCCTCAGATACAAAGATCATCCTAAACAGGCTCATGAAATCCATGGTTGTCATGAGCTTGGTTCCCCACATTCTGCAGACCATCCAGCTGTGTAATCCAGTGACTGTGTCACAGATTGCCAGCCCTACAGCGAAGTTCCACAGGACAAGTTCTGAATCCACATGGAAAGCTTCACAAGGAAACAAATCTTTAACATTTGAAAAGTGATGAGCTCCTTGTGTGGCTGACTTAAAAACAATAAACTATTTTTGTGCTTGTCTACAAATGCATAGAATGTGAGGTGGAAAACAGAGTAAATGCACCTCTTACTTGAATGGAATTTAGCCAGTTTTCCTGCTGTAAATCCAGCAGACGAGCTCAGACCAGCCTGACCCTTTCTCCTGGCAAGCTGTGAACAAAATGCCTATGGCTGTGAGTTCAAATGATGTCAGTGATTCCTGGCCCATCTTGTCTTTTGTTTGTTAGGAGCTTCAAGCCCTTCCAAATATAGAATTCATTTTCTCATATTGTTATTTAGTTCTAAATATATGCATGAGGATGTTAAAGAAACTGAGAATCTTATAGATTTCAACAGCGTTCATGTCCTAAGCAGGACATGAAATTGCTATAAGGAGATGAGCTTCCAACACACTCCCTTCATACCAACCAGGCATCAGGCAAAGCCAGGACTCTCAGCCAGTGGGCCTGGAATTTTGAACCCTTTTCAGTTCTCAGGAAACACTTGGTTTGTTGGGGTATTGAGTGGTTGTTCTTGGAGTTGTTCACATGTAAGATACAATCTTTCAGCAAGCTCTATTACTACAAAGTTGTTCAATAGAATGTTCACATTTTTAGATATAAATGAATGTGCTGTGAATACCCATACATGCAGCCTCCATGCCAATTGCCTTAACACCCAAGGATCCTTCAAGTGCAAATGCAAGCAGGGATATAAAGGCAATGGACTTCAGTGTTCTGGTAAGTAGCATTTGGTCATGGCCTTTTTGCTATTCCCAATAAAAGCATTCTCTCCAAATCATCATCATCATCATCTCCTCCTCCTCCTCCTCTTCCTCCTCCTTCTCCTCCTTCTCTCTCTCTGTCTCTCTGTCTCTCTCTCTCTCTCTCCCTCCCTCCCTCCCTTCCTCCCTCTCTTTCTCTCTGTGTATGCCATGAGTAAATTTAACTCTTCCTCAGCCTTGTTCTTTGCTACTTGGATCACATTTCCAATACTCACTGAAGTTGTAGGCAGAAAACTGAAAGAATAACAAAGGAAGTGCTTCATATTTTTCTGTTTACAACATACTTTGATCAGGACGTTTTCCAAAATGCATGACTGAAACAAAGTAGGATGCTGCAGATGTCACTTCCTCTGTCATCTTCAACCCTGGATTTCCTTTTTTAAATGTATAGCAAAGAGTCCCATTGCTCTTGCCAGTTAATTCTTTAACACTAATGAATTTAAACTGTAAAATTATAAGCCCAGACATATAACTACAACAATAAGAAAGGTTTATTTCTCATGTAGAACACATGAAAAGTAGAATATGTCTGAAGAGATTTTTCAGATTTCTTGATATAATCACTTTGGGAGGAACCTAGGCTAACAGAGACCCTACCATCTTATGGCACCAGGGTATGTCACAGCAGGAAAAGAAGCATGGCCAGTCATGCACCAGCTCTTATTAGTTGAACTTAGAAGTGTCTGACTTCAAGGGGCAAAATACTAATAGTAATCCTGCTGTGTGTCCTAAAAGAGAAGAAAACTAGAAGTCATGGTGAATACTATATATCTGCCATAGTAAGTCAGCTGAGAAAAAAGTGCAGGCCCTCCCCTGGAAAGTAGTGTCCTACAGTGTTTAAAGTCAGCCAGATTTATCTCTCTGGTTATGCCCCTTGTAGCACTGGCTCATTGTGTGACTAGACTTGTGTACTGCCCTGTCTCAGCTACATCCTATACCCCTTAGTAGAGTCCTCACATATTCCAATAAATATGGCTACAAGTTGTACCCTGACCTGCTTCATATCCCATGCCTCCATCCAGCCAATGCTCCTGATGACGCAAATAGCTATAACAGAGCATCTAAGCAGTCGTGCAAAAATAAACTGTATGTACCCTGACAGACATTTAGCGACGCAGTCATAAAAGGTTCACAGTACCCCAGTGGGCTATGGTTGAGTGCACTAGACATGAGTGAGTGTAAAACAATGTAACCAAAGAAATGAGTCTGGAAATCAGATTCTATGAAGAACTGCCAAAAGAACAGAGTAGCATTTAGTCTGGGAAAAATAGAGTGGAAAAGCATAGATTGTGCTGGAAGTATTTTTTAAAATGTGAAGTGAAAGTGACTCCCCAAAACAGACTAAAACCAATGAGTGGAAGTTATATTCTCTCATAAAAATGACTGCTAGGTGTCTAAGGGTGGAACAGGGAACCCCCATGGAGTAGGGACATTCCACTGCCACAGGCCCTCAGGTTTGGGGATCTGGGAGGGATTCCAAATATGCTGGGATGAAGTTGGGATTAAATGACCACTCAGTTGCTAGCAACTTGAAGCTGTGGTTTCTATCCCTCTGGGTAGAAGCACCCAGTGATGTCCTTCTGAAACGATTCAGAGAGAGACCAAGACAGAGACTGCAAGAGATACAGATATTGGTCTCCTGTTCAGGGTTGTACATGGGTGGACTGGGAGGCGGGATGCCACAACCTCGAGAGGCCTCTGGAATAAATCAACTTTCCATACTGGATGAGGTACGCAAGGGCCTATATCCGACACTCATTCATGCCACCAAACTTGAACATGTACCTTGTAGGTTAAGAATGACTAAATTTAAATCTTATCTTTGCCCCTCATTGACTGTAATGTGTACCAAGTTTCTTAAACTCTATGAGCTCAGTTTTTCCTATCCAAAATGGTAGTCTTGTGATGGGTGCTTGTAATGAGTCAGGCCGCAGTCCTGTGCAGGAGGGTATAAAGTTCCATGCATATTCCTAGCCCCAGTACAGTGGATTCTGTGCATTGTGGCCTCAGAAGGCTGCTCAGCCCCTCTAGGTGCAACCCAGAGACAGAAAAAGTTAACACCCCTAGGGAATACCCTCAACGGGTGGGGACAAGAGTTCTCTTCATAGGATGGAACAATCTGAGGGGTAGTCTCTATTGGCTTCCAGATGTCCCCGGTGGGATTGAACCCCAGTTACCTACAGTGATTACTATCAAGACACCATCTTTTGGCTTTTCTCCTTCCTGTCTCTCCCCCCTCCCCTCTTCTACCTCTGGGATTCACCTCCCAAATAAACCACCTGCACCCAAATCCTTATTTCAGGCTCTGCCTGGGAGAACCCACACTAAGACAGATACCTCTCTCAGAAGTCCAGCATGAGCTTTAAATGAGGTAATGTAAGTAGAGAACTTAGTTCAACTGATCACATGGCAGATGCTCAATAAAGTTAGCTGTGGTTACTATTGTTATGAGTATCATTTCAATCAGTGTTGAAGGCTAGCCCCTCTACCCTGCAAATCTGTAAAGGTAAATGCAAAATTACTGTGAATTTGAAGTAGAAGCCTCAGGAAAACACCTGTTTCTCTAAGCAGGCAACTCACCCCCACATGCCAGCTCCCCTATTCCCAGGCCTGGGAATTGAAAAGATTTACTAGCACTTTCCTGGAGTCATCTTCTTTGCTTATCATTCACTCCCCCTTGAAAACACAATGTGTTCTTAGTGTGCAAATGAAGACAACATCCTGAAGCATGCAATTGGGTGATTGATTTTTGCAACCCATGTTTTCTATATTGTATCCCTAATGCTTTGAAACATGTCTTACATCAAAGGAATTTCTGTTTTCCTTTGACAATCCAACCAAAGTCTAATTTTCTTGATCCCTTAATGCCCCAAACTCATCACTGTGTTCTGTTTGACATTTGAAAGTATGAATTGTTTATTTATCCACTTTGCAGCTAAATTATTTCTTTAGTATTTCACTAGAATGTTTATTTAAAGGAGAAAATTCTCTTTGGATCATTCACTATATAACTTGCTTTAATTCTCTGTAAAATAAACAGCCAAGTTTCTCTTGAAATTGATCTTAACATTCATTACTTAAAGAAAGATGGTCAAAAATTCACCCTTATGTGCATAAAAAAGTTATAAAAACAAAAATGAGAGAATTATGTCCAATTAGCACTCACCATTATAATATGTTACATTGAAAGATCCATTCATATGCACATGAATTGCTATTATATAATATAGAACATTGGTGTAGCAACTTTTTTTGGCAGTGCTGGGGATTGAACCCAGGGCCTTGTATATACTACACTTGTGCTGTGCCATTGAGCTACTTCCCCAGGCCTTGATGTAGTGATTTTTATCATGAGTCCCTTGTTTTTGAAATGTTCAGACTCTACACTGAAGTGAAGAAGAAAAGTTACTAGATTGTCCTTACACGCCATCTGTACCCAAATAAAGGAGCACCCTGAATGTAAACACATGTGTATTTTACTATTCTGAGTATTAATATGCTGCTAGATATTTTTATCTTGATTTGACAGAAGCTATATCTCATTCTAAGACTTCAAAACTCAAAAGAATACCCAAATGGGGGAGAAAAGGCAACTCTACCATTGAGCCACCAGGAGCACTGGGCTCCCTAGCTTACTACCTGTGAACAGAGAACAAATTATTTAACCTTTCAGTGCCTCAGTTTCCACATATGCAAAATATGGATCATATTATCTAGCCATTAATATTGGGGGGTTGCAGTACTGGGGTTTGAACCCAGGGCCTCATGCCCTTAATATTGTTCTGATAATTAAATGAAATAATCCATACAGAATAAATAAATTCCCATCAAAATGGCTTAACTCTAGCCCAGAATCCATTAAATGCTTGGTAAGCATGTGCTAGTAGTAGGAGTTATAGTGGCAACAGCTTATTCCCAAAATCCAACAGTCTTTCCCATTGAAAAACAGCTTTTTTTTTCATTCTATTTTGCTTTTACTTTATGTAACTACTTTTTATCTTTTTTTTTAATTATGTGCATATATTGTTTGGGTCATTTCTCCACCCTGCCCCCCTCCCCTAACCTTCCTCCCCTCTCCTCCTCAGTTTCAGGCAGGTCTCGTTCAAACAGCTTCTTTACTTACTAAAAACAGACTTATGGAACCAGACACCAGTGGCTCACACCTGTCATCCCCAGCTATGTGGGAGGCTGAGATCAGGAGGATTGGGGTTGGAAACAAGTTTGCAAGATGCCATCTCAACAGAAAAAAACTGGGAGTGGTGGGGCGTGCCTGTCACCCCAACGATGGCATGAAGTTTAAAATAGGAGGATTGTGGTTGAGGCCAGCCTGGGCAAAAAGCAAGCCCCATCTCTAAAATAACCAGAGCAGAAATGGCTAGAGGTGTCATTCAAGCAGTAGAGTGTCTACCTCTCAAGCACAAAGCCCCGAGTTCAAACCCCATTACTGTCAAAAAAAATCCTTATGGCTTACTTCAATTTACATAGAGCTTATTCAAGAAGATGGATTTAGGTACAACCAAGCCGTTTCAATTTTTTTCTTCAATTACAGCATAAACATTTGCAATTTGGAGGCAGGGCTTGGGAAATTTATTTTTAATTCAATAAAAGCTTTTAAACATTCTGATGAGTTTTTAATAGCAAACCCATGCTGATTATGTGGCAAACACTATCTCAGCAATTGACATGTATGCACGCATTCAAGCCTCAAATTCCCAATTTTTTAAATGGGGACACTGAGGCAAAGAGAAGTTAGGTATTGGCTTGAGGACACATGGCTAGAAGACGGGAGCAAGAGTCACACCCAGGAAAGTGGGCTCAAGGACTGTGCCTAAGCACAGGAGAGGCATGTTCGTGGTGGACAGCTAATCCTCTGTGGTGAAGACTGCCCCTGGTTCCCTCCCCAGCCAACTCTCCTGACTCAGCTTTTGCTTCTTCCTGTTTTCTGGCTCTCATGGTGCAATACATCTGCATTCGTGATTAAACCTGTCCTCCCAGGCCTGTGTCCAAAGCTCAGATTGGTGGAGCATTTCTCTAATCAGATGATAGGAGGTTGTCTGATAAACTAGGTACAGGTAAATAAATGTCAAAGTGCTATTCCTCCTGGGTAAGATACTCTAATCTAATAGTGATTTCCTATTAATAGTCTTATCCCAGAGGTATGGAGTTAAGATTTTCAGATAGAAGTGTTTGAAAAAGCAGATAATTAGAGAAATCTCTAATCCCTCCCAAGAGACATTGTCAACTTCATCTACAAATGGCTGACCCATGAATCTGAAGACTTTGGAATTCCCTGTTTTTATGTCTACATTCCCCAAATATGCCAAAGAATTTACGACTGCAACTTCCTCCGTTTTTTATATTATCAAAAAGATGGTGCAATAATCAAAACGATTTTAAGAGAAAATAATCATTGGTTATCTCAAATTCAAAACAACCATTTCTAGATAATAAAAAATCTAGCTATGTATGTGCATATACATATGCATATGCAATTTCATCTTTGCTCAGCTTTCTCTATACATACTAAGAGAATGAAACTGTTGACACTACAAAGGTTATGATCTTTTCATTTTCTTTTTCTTTTCAATAGGAAAATTTGAAGCTTCAAAGCAAAAACTGAAAGCAGATGTTTAAGTTTGCTTGGAGTGGGTTACAATCCTCTCATTATTTAATAAATGTCCTTAGTTTTATGTTACTGATTGCATAAAGGAAGTTTACGGGAATGGGCGTTTCCTTTAATTTTTCATGCTGGATACTGGGAAAAGATTCAGAGACCCACGGACAGAATTACACAGTGGGGCCTCCATGGGAAGGTCTATTTATGATGAGCACATTATAATCAAAACTTAACATACACCTCTGGCAAAGGAGCTTAAACAGGTCATGTGAAGTTCAGGAAAATTAGTAATGATGCATTACTTGTACTAGTTGGTTTCGTACCTATTAAGTACAGGCTGTCACAATGATAAATAACTAGAATATCTCACTGAAAAGAGACATGTTGCACTTCTGTCCTACCAGCCTTAGATTTACGTCAAAGTAAAAACACTGTATTAATTAAGAGCACATATATTTTCAAAGCTGTTTTCTTCACCCTTATGACTACCAAAACAAGTGTGAATTTCTCCTTGTTTATTTTTCTACTATGGAACAGATTAAATTAGCCAAATGATGGAGAAGGAATAAAGCAGGAGAAAAGATTAAAACATTGTCAAGAAAAATATTCTAATAAAATCCCAGTCCGACTTCTTTTCATAGTATTTTTTTAGGCATCAAAATTGGTGCTTACTTCCTTTTATGTCCTTCTAAATGATATTCAAGTAGTAGAGGTAAATGAATCGGCTCAGGTTTATTAGACTCTTTCTTGCCTAGTGTTAGATTAGCTCATCTCCAGATGCTTTATGAGACAATGTATATGATTTTAAAGACCAATGTTTTTAATTTTTCAAGAAATCAGTTACTTTTTTGCATCAGTTAGATATTCTTAATCATTGTGAGTATATCCCTGGAAAAGGGCCATATATATTTGAATCATAAATCTCAAATCGAGAGAAAAATAATCCTAACACTTAAGGCAAGAATAAACCTAGCATGGAAATAGGACCAGAAAAAGTGTCATTTGTGTTTTTTACCTTCAAATCCCAGCTCCGCCCCTAATTAGCTAAGTGGCCTTGGGCAAGTCACTTAGCATGGCCCAGTTGCCCCATCTACAATATTGAGCTGGAGGCCTTTGTCTACCCCTTGAGTTCACTAACATCACCCCCCCCCCAGGTCATTGATCTACTTCAGGATAGGAGGAATCAATCTAAAAGTGTGTTTTTTAAAGCAACTTAATTTCATGGCAAGAAATAGGAAATGGATATAAAACAGTAAATATAGAAGCCTCTCTTTAAAATTCCAATAAATAAAATCATTTAGCTTTAGATAGTGGTTGTCTGAGTTGAAAAAATTTAAAGAGGAGCAGGAAGGGGGAAGGAAAATTAAGTATGTGTACATTGTGTACATGGGTATATCACCATCTTTGTAGGTCTCACAAATGGACCATTATTGTCTGTTTATATGATTCAACCTAATGCTATAATTGTAATCTGTGAACATCAAATTTGGACAAATTTCTAGGGCTACTTGCACAATATCAGCATTGGAGAATACCAGCATAAAAGCAGTAATATCAGTGGGCCTGGAAAAATCCACTTTACTTTAGGGTCTTAGCCCAACTAGGTAGTAGCAGGTATTTGACTAAAGTAGTTTCTGAACCAAAATAAGGTGTGTCCTCTAACAAAAGGTACTTAATTGCCATAACATTGGAACTGCTTAAAACACATACAAATATGGTTTAAAAAAAACTGTGGCTGGATTCTAGAAGGGTTCACCTACTGCACTTTAATACTTCCAAATGCTCCATTGTTCAAAAACTGATCTAAGTATCAGCCAGTTTGGAACATCTCACCTATTACTGTTTGTTTTAGTTATTTCTGAAAATTCTGTAAAGGAAGTCCTCAGAGCATCTGGGACCATCAAAGACCGAATCAAGAAGTTGCTTGCTCACAAAAACAGCATGAAAAAGAAGGTGAAAATTAAAAATGTCACCCCAAGACCCACTGGCACTCATACTCCTAAGGTTAACTCTCAGCCCTTTAGCGATGGAGAAAGTGTTTCCATGGGTGGTAACTCTAATAGAGAAGAAAAAGGGAGGGAAGAGAAAATGAAAGAGGGGCTTGCAGAAGAGAAAAGAGAAGAGAAAGCCCTAAAGAATGACGTGGAGCAGGAGCGAAGCCTTCGAGGAGATGTGTTTTGTAAGTATCACTTTGGTTATATATACATTTTGTGAAAAATCGTGAGTTCCTTCTGAAAAATGAAAGAAGATTGGACAGTTTCACACCTTAAGGAAACGGGTTGGGCCTTAAGTCCCAAGAAGCAGGGTCCTGTGTAAGGTCTAGAGAACACCTGTAGATACCAAACCAAGGAATGAGGAATGAGGAGGAGCCAAAGTCCTGTTCTCTTACCTCGGAGCTTCCCGTTTAGCACAGACCCTCCCTAGCCACTCCCAGCCCAGGAAGTCTACTGGTCCTACAAGCGCAGTTGTCTAGCTGATGAGCTCTCTATACAGTGCATCCCCAAATCAGAGAGACCCTTACCACGTGGGCCTACCAAGCTCTACCTTTTTAGTTTACTTTTGATTTGGTTTTGGTGGTACTGGGAGTCGAACTCAGAGCCTTGCACTTGCTGGGCAGCTCTACCACTTGAGCCACACCTCCAGCCCCTTTTGCTTTTTTACTTATTTTTAATAGGGTCTCATATTTATGCCTGGGCCAACCTGGACCATGATCCTCTTCTTTATGGTTCCCGTGAAGGTGGGATGACAGGTGCACACCACCACACCCGGATATTGGTTGAGATAGGGTCTTACTAACTTTTTACCCAGGCTGACCTTGTACCATGATCCTCCCAATCTCTGCCTCTCAAACTGGCTCCTTTTTACTTCTTGAAGCACTTTTCACAGGCCCACTCTATGAAAACAGAATGTCATGGTTATGTAATTATGATTTTAAATCCCGAAACAGAAAACCATAGAGAGAAAATGCAATAGTGGTGTTTGTTTTCTTCATGAACTAGATACTGCCATGTCACCTCTTTGTACTGGCTGCTGTGCAGAACATCTCCTCCCCATCATAGGTCTCTTTCCCTCCAAGACAGTTTCCATATTAACCCAGCCTGGATCCCCACACTGAGACTCTCTCATTTCCTTCTTGCTGTGCATTTGTTTTTTGCTTTGTATTTTGCCTTGTCTGTTCTTGGCTCTATGATTGGCAATCATATATACAAATGCCAGTTGGAATTAACCAAAGGATAACTAGACACAGGCCCACCTATCCAGGAAATAGCGTACCGGTGACATTATCTCCCATACTTGTGAAAATCTCAAGAAGATATATTTCCAAAACCTGGCGAGAAAGGATGTGTCAGGAATGTAGATGCTTATCTCACCTAAGAGAACTTCTGGTAAATGCTATTCTAGGGTAAGGAAACTGGAACCAATGTGAATGTTTGGGAAATGGTAGAGAGACACTGCTCTAATATGTTCTGTCATTAGAATACATAATAAAACCTTCTTTGTTTAGTCATTGGGTTAATTCCTTCTGAGCATGTGGGGGTTTGGGTTTTTTCTTAACTGATCAAGTGTTCTTTATCAGCCCCTAAGGTGAATGAAGCAGATTTGGATCTGGTTCTGGTCCAAAGAAAAGCACTAAATTCTAAACTGGAACACAAAGGTAAGTAATGCTTTCTCCCAGGTATTACGTTCTCTCGTATTTTACCATGTCATTTTCATTTCCCCACAGGAAGAGGTAATGGTTTTTAAATCACACATATACCTGCAAGGGGAAAAAAATCATTACATCATAATATTCAGTACCAGTATCAAAATAATAGATTCTTGTGTGATTAACACCAATAGTTACAATTTAGTAAGGCTATTTTCTTCTCTTTGCCACTCCTACGTGACACCAAGAGTAAAGAGTTGAGGCAGACTATGTTGGAAATGGTAGAAAAGTACTCATTTGCCTGAGGTCCTGAAATTGCCATGTTCTAAAATGTGACCCAAAGTTCCTGAATCAGTTATGATTGCCACAGTAATGCTATGTAACAAACCATCACAAACCCTCAATGGCCTATAGTAATAAATATTTATTTTTGTTTATGAGTCTGTGAATCATCTGGGCAGTCTGCTGATCTAAACTGGGCTGTGTGGGCTCACCCATGTGCCTATAGTCAGTTGTGGACCTGCTTTGTGACTTTGCTGATTTGGGCTGTGCTCCATTGCATGCCTGGGGCCTCAGTTGGGACAGCAGGATTCGCTCAGCTCTGCTACATATAGTCTTTCATCCTTCCACAGGCTAGCCCAATGTTGTTCCCATGAGGCAGTAGCAGAATTCCAAGAAAGAGAGCAAGGCACACAGGCCTTTTGAGGTCTAGACCCAGAACTGGTACAACACTTCTGCCATTTTCTTACTAATTGAGACAAGTCACAAGGGCAGCCCAGACCTAAAGGTTAGAGAGGGAACTACAAAATCATACAAGTTGAGTATCCCTTGTCTAAAATTTTCCTGTACACAGAAGTGTTTCCAGTTTGGGGTTTGATCCAATTTTTTTAATATTTGCATATACATAATGAGATATCATACAGATAGGACCCAAATGAATTTTGTATTTCATATATACCTTATACACATAGCCTGGAGGTAATTTTATACAATATTTTTAACAATTTTGTGCATGAAACAATTTCCTGGCATAGAATTTTCCACTTATGGAATCATGTCAGTTCTCAAAAAATTTCAGATTTTTGGAGTTCAGATTAGGAATGCTCAACCTATATTACAAAGAGTGTGGATACAGAGAAGGATAAAAATTGGGACCATTGTTGTGATCAATCTACAAAGCCTCAGATTCTGGTAGTTATTGTTACCTATGACAAGTTATATTAATAGAGGTCTCTGAACAGACCCCAGGAAAGAGCCTATTTATACATTTATTGTTTTCACTCAGTGTGTCAATGTTCATTTCTTTCTTTTCAAGCTTTCTTTTACTTAGCACTCCATATGTCCTAAGTCTATGCTAATTCTGTCTTTATTCTGTGAGTACATTCTCCAGTTTCTCTTTGGTCTATAGGAGAGCCTCTACTATGAAGAAAGTGCCTTTCTAGTTCAATCTAGTTCAAATTCGATCCGAGATGCTTCTACTGAAAACTCTTCAAAGGCTAGCAACCCATGACGCAGCTCCTACCAGCATCTCATTTCCCTCCATGTTTCTTCAAAGGGTTCTATTCATTCATTTCTCTATATTAAACATCTCATTACCCATTTTCTTGGTTAGGAAGAACGTGTTTCCTAGCACAGGGGATGAACTCTGTTCTCCCTGTGTTCACAGTTTCTTCCCCAGCTCTGCTTCACATTTGCTCAGCATCACTATGGAATTGTTTGAGCTCTCTTTGGATCTCCAGATTGACCAGTTTTCTATTTTACATTTTCTTCCATGATCCTACTGAGACACAGAAAGTTGAAAGTTTTTCTCACGAGCATATGACCATGTGACTTCAACAGTCCTTAAGTAAGGTGCCCTGGAGAACTCAGCCCCAGTCAGAAGACTCAGGTGTGCACTTCAACTGTGCTACTTGCTGTTTGCCTTAAGCAAGTCACTTAGACTTGCTTGCTTCTTGCTTTTACACATGAAAGTGATTCAAGAGCAACACTACTTACTCTCTTAGGTGCTGGTTTCCCCAGAAACAGACCCCAAGAAAACAATTTGTGTGCATGTGGCTTATGGGGGGGCAGTGATCCCAGGAAAACAGTGAATAGGGCACAGGAATGTGAGACAAGAGAGAGAAGGAGGCAATAAAGGGTGCCTTATCAGGAAATTTCCATGGTGGGGAACTGGAGCTCAATCCCATTGTTACCCAATGTAGAACGTAAGGCTCAGAATTACCCTACAAGAGGGATAAGGGAGCTGGGTATATATACACGGACTCCCATCTGACACCGACAAGAGGCTGTTCAACAGGCTAATTTCCTGGCATGCCATGAAAGCAGGGAAGACACCACTGTGGTAAGTGAACCTCCATCCCACACTGCCTTTCTGAAGAGCTCCTGGATTCCAGCCTGACTTCAGTCCACATCCAATTCCAGCGCTTACTGGTCCTACCCAAAGGCAAGGGAATGGAAATATCTATCCACTAATTCCTGTCCATCACTGGTTGGCAGCCCTCCCTGGGGAAAGAACTGGCAAGCATTCTTGTGTACCTGGTTTGGGCCAAGCATGCTCTAGCCACAGAACAGCTTCATATGAGAGTTGTGGACATTTGCAGTAGAAAGCCATATGCCTGCAAGGGAACATAAATACTGACAGATGTTGGTGTGGCAGCAACAGCATCTGCTTCATGGCTGGTGTGGATTAAATCAGAAATATGTTTGAAAGCATTTTGCAAACCATAAAGCACTATACTAGTGAAGTAGTGTGCTCATGAGACTAAAGCCTTGAGTTTTAACTCTTTTGGGAATAAGTTGCTATATACTAGTCCAGTACCCCAGTCTATGTGCTCTGCATGCTGAGGACGGGGGACAGAGTTTGGAACAAATGAGCCACCATATAAACCAACTGAAAAATTGATGTTCCACTATTTGTGGGATGGTAACATCAGCTTCTTAAAGTAGTAATGGCACTCCTTAAAGAATGCTGAAGACCTGAATCAAGTATTAATTGGCTTTTTTTTTTCATTTTAAAATAAAATATCCTGATAACCTGGGGGAAATAGGTTAAAAAGAAATGAAAATGAGAAAAAGGAAAGTGTGTGTGCTAACTTAGGCTATATGTGGAATGGACAACCCTGAATTTCAGTCAGGACTTAGGCCCAATTCTAGCATTAAGTGTCTGTGGAAATGGATAAATCACTTATGAGCCTCAGTTTTACTGAGGCTCTCACGATAGACTATTTTGACAATCAAATCAAATGATACAATGTTTGTGAAAATACTTGGCAAATTGAAATGAGGCAAGAAAAAACTATGTATTCCCTTTACTTTCCATTGCTTTCTTTATTCCTCAGTATAAACAGCTAAAGCCCCAAAATCAGAGCCAGGGGTTAGCCAGAGGTTTTTGTTTTGTTTTGTTTTATTTTAAAATTTTTATTATTTTTTTATTCACATGTGCATACATTATTTGGGTCATTTCTCCCCCCTTCCCCCCCTCCCCCACCCTCTCTCCCTTCCCCCCTCTGTTCCAGGTAGGTCCTGTTCTGCCTTTATCACTAGTTTTGTTGAAGAAAAGAGACAAGCTTAATAAGAAAGACAAAGCGTTTTTGCTAGTTGAGTTGAGGATAGATATACAGAAATATTCCTAGCATTGCTTTCGTGTACACATGTTATGACCTATGTTGATTCATCTCTAACTGATCTTTACCTTGGTTACTGATCCCCTTCTCATGATAACTTCTGTTGCTTTAAGGTTTCTGTATTAGTTCCTCTGGAGTGGGGACATCAAACACTTTCATGTTTTGGGTTTTGTACCTATTTCTATATCACCCATATATGCTCTCCCCTTGTCATATGATCCAAGTCCAACCACACTGCTGCATTTGCCCTAGATCTAAAGACTGCATATGAGGGAGAACATATGATTTTTGGTCTTCTGAGCCTGGCTAACCTCACTCAGAATGATGTTCTCTAGTTCCATCCATTTACTTGCAAATGATAAGATTTCACTCTTCTTCAGGGCTGAGTAAAATTCCATTGTGTACAAGTACCACATTTTCTTAATCCATTCGTCAGTAGTGGAGCATCTTGGTTGTTTCCATAACTTGGCTATTGTGAATAGTACTGCAATAAACATGGGTGTGCAGGTGCCTCTGGAGTAACCTGTGTTGCATTCCTTTGGGTATATCCCCAGGAGTGGGATTGCTGGATCATATGGCAGGTCTATGTTTAGATTTTTAAGGAGTCTCCAAATTTTTTTTCAGAGTGGTTGTACCAGCTTGCATTCCCACCAACAGTGGATTAGGGTTCCTTTTTCCCCGAATCCTCGCCAATACATGTTGTTGGTGGTGTTTTTGATGATGGCTATTCTAACAGGGGTGAGGTGGAATCTTAGTGTGGTTTTGATTTGCATTTCCTTTATTAGCCAGAGGTTTTAAATCAGAAGTATCTCAGTCTTCCTCCTCTTTCACATTGGTATTTTTTGTTATCTATATCAGAAGCAAACTTTTCTCTGGAAATGGCCAGGTAGAAAATATTTTAGGCTTTGTGAGCAATACAGCCTTGGTAGCAATTACTCAACTCTGTCCTTATAGCTCAAAGGCAGCCACAGATAATATATCTATGAATGTGCAAGGTGGGCTTCCATAAAACTACAAAAATAGGCAGTAGGCCAGGATGTTAGATCATAACCTCAGATCTACATCAAAGTAACAAAAAGCACTGTTTGAAAACCTGAACTAGTTGACTCCACTGTTTTATTTCTCTGATACTCTAAACGAGGCAGTCATTCTACCATGAAGAACCCAGGAACAATGTAGAAACTGGCAGTGTGTCAACTTGCTTGATCCAACATACTGGTAGCAAGTTTCTCACTGGAATGTCAGAATCACGAAGTAAAGAAAGGAAAGTTTTGTCACTTTATGTCTCACTTGTACCCATGGAATTTTAGTTGATGGAGGTGATTGAGAGAGGACATGAATAGGCCAATACCATTGAAAGAAGGGTTTATTAGTCACATTTCCCCCAGAGAAGAGAGCAAGAGGGAACAACAGGGAAACCATCAGGCAAAGGTCAGGAGGCAGGAGCAGAAGTGAGGGGGAAAGCCTAGATCACAGCCTTTACTGGGATTTCTTTGGGAAGAAAGGCAAGACAGGCCAGGGGAAAACACTTAAGATTGGCTAATTGCAGAAGACATTGGAGCACAGGGCTGCCCCTAACTGTCTGGTACCTGGCCCTGGGATGATTTATGGCAGGGAAAATACTGGCTTTCTGTCACTGTAACAAAATACCTGAGATAATCAACTTATAAGAATGAAAGATTAATTTTGACTCATGGTTTCAGAGGTTTCGGCCCATGATTGTTTAGTCCCATCGCTTTAGGCCTGTGACAAGGTCAAATGTCATGGCAGGGATCTTGTGGTGAAGCAAAACTGCTTACCTTATGGTAGCCAGGAAGCAGAAAGAGAGAGAGGAAGGGGTTGGGATCCCAGTACTCCCTTCAAGGGCATGTACCCAGTGACCACACTTCCTTCCACTAAGCTCCACTTCCTACAGTTGTACCACCTCCCAGTAGTGCCCCAGGCTGGCAACCAAGCCTTTAGCACATAGCCTTTGGGAGACATGTCAGATCCAAACCATAACAGTGGATGAGAGTTAGATAAAGGGGATGGTTAGCTTGTGTATGAAACATGCTCCCAAGTTATTTACTATCTTGGGAATTAGCTGGCCCTGGAAGGGGAAGTTTCTGCCCAGGTCTATAAGCCCCCCTGAGATGTTAGAACATAAAATATAGCAAATAAAAAAACAGGGTTAATTCTCTTATGTAGTAAAAAGAATGTTGATAAGTCATGTACTACATGAAACTTATTATGTCACAAATCATCTAGAAAGTTCTGGCAAGGTCTTCATTTGTTTAGTTGTTTACAGGAGAATTTATTTTCTGGACTTAATTTTATGAACAATTGGATATAATTCTTGTTTTGCTTTGCTCATAAGAGTCTTGTCCATTACTTGTTTTGTTAAATAGGTTTTTTTTTTCTTTTAAGGTCACAGCAACTGAATTTGTTGATAATGGCTTCAGAGAGTTTGAAACTATTCTTAGAGGCATTTCAGTTCCCATAATCTGTATTCTGTGCAACTGAAAACATGGCACTGCCTTCCAAAGCTCCAAATGTTAGCTCTCTTTCTAATGTTCTTAATGATTGTGAAATGTTCTTTTTTAGCAGATATAAATATCTCAGTTGATTGCAGCTTTGATCATGGGGTCTGTGACTGGAAACAGGATAGAGAAGATGATTTTGACTGGAATCCTGCTGACCGAGATAATGGTATTTACATTTGACTATTTCATGTTCTGCAATATGGCAAAGATAAAGAAGGCTCAGCACTAATGTAATGGAGGGTTATTATTCCTGCTACTCACTGGGTCAGGGTTGTTGGTCATCTTAGGAAATCTTAGACCTCCTGAGGTTTCCCCATCTGGATGACTAACTTGATCCAGCATATATGCTCCTCTTTAATCTCTTTCCTACCCACCTGACCCACAAAGTGTGCTCCAGAAGATATCCTTTATATTTACCATCCTCTTCTGAGAGATTCACATAAAGTTTAGGAGTATTGTTGTCAATTTACCAGACACTGTACTCTGTAGTTTTTATTTTGCGTTTTAGGAGGAATTAACTTTTTTTTTTTTTGCAGTATTGGGGCTTGAACTCAGGGCCTACATCTTTAGCCACTCCACCAGCCCTTTTTTGTGATGGGTTTTTTTGAGATAAGGCCTCAAAAACTATTTACCCAGGCTGGCTTTGAACCACAATCCTCCTGATCTCTGCATCCCAAATAGCTAGGATTACAGGCATGAGCCACCAGTGCCTGGCTAGGAAGAGTTAAATCTTGATAGAGAAAATGACCTGTAGTTAAACCTGAAGTTTTAATAGAGTCACCTTTCAAAGCATCGAAGCCATGATGAGTATCAAGTCAACAATCTGAACCCCTGGACTGAGCTTTCCCTTCTGTTGCCTGAAGATTTCTTTCTGGTCACCTGACTTTGGATTTTTCTCAAAGTCAGCTCTGATCTGTGGGTTTCCTGTGCTTTCTACTGCCTACTTTAGCTATTGATGAGCCCTAGTTTTCCCCTTGGATAGAGCATTTGGTTTGCAGATCCCATTTGGAGCACATATTAAATCCCTGTCTCCTGAAGACTGACTATGTAACTACAGATAATTGTTACACCTCTGGGAAGCCAGTTCCTTACAAGTAAGATTATTTCTTTGGGGGGACATACAGACTCAGCCTTCGGCTGAAAGATCCTTCTTCTAGAGTCTTCCTGAAAACTAATTCCTCCTTGAGATCTTTCCTTTCAAGCCCTCACATGCAATCAGAAAACTTGGATATCCCATAACAAGAATTCCTTTTAGAACTTGGGATTAGGGTAGAGGGGATACATCCCACACAGCAGTTGTGTGAGTGAGAGTATCACTAAAGATTCAGGGCAAGCAGAGGGCAAGTTTAACCACAGACAATGCATTTTTTGGAGAAGCTATCTTGATAACTAATTTGAGTTTCTCCTTTCTCCCATCATGGCATCTCTAAACTTATGTCTACCAGAGCTATATCAAACTGGGAGCTCATGTGTTATTCCAAGATCTTGACAGCTACTACCACAGGTTAAAAGATACTTAGAAGGTCTGTAGGCATAGAAAGAGATGTATTCCTGTCATCCTAAATCAGAGCTCAAATGATATGTTTACACTTGGTGGTTGAGCTTGATGAAGCCATTAGGACATTCAGGTGTGTTATGGATTAAACACACCGCTCTATGGACCCATCATATATATGAATGGAGCTGGTCATCGTACATATCATTGATTCAGTGGGTAAGTGAATTCCAAGATTCAAAGAATCAGGGTGGAAATGAAATTCTGGAATACAAGTTCTGTGTTAGGTGCAAATTACCTACGGTGCTAAACAACTGTTTAATTAGATTCTAACCCTGCATCTCTGATAATCCCAACCTTTGTGAATGAATGTGGACAAATTCCTCAGTTTTCTTCTCTGCATAGCAAAAGATTTCAATTGTGTAATCCCTAAAATTCACTTTAGCATGAAAGTTTTGTTCCTGTGTTCAAAATAGAAAGGACTTCAGCTTTCCCTATGGGAAACTATTGTTCATTTTTATAGCTGTGTTGTAGATTGTAGCCAAATCCTTTATAATGACATCATTCAGTGTGCATTATTGTTCTCTTAAAGCTGTTGGCTATTACATGGCAGTTCCAGCCTTGGCAGGACACAAGCAGAATACTGGCCGATTGAAACTTCTCCTCCCAGACCTGCAGCCCCAAAGCAACTTCTGTTTGCTCTTTGATTACCGGCTGGCCGGAGACAAAGTAGGGAAACTTCGAGTGTTTGTGAAAAACAGTAACAATGCCCTGGCATGGGAAGAGACCAAGAATGAGGATGAAAAGTGGAGGACGGGAAAAATTCAGTTGTATCCAGGGACTGATATTACCAAAAGTGTAAGTGGAACAATTAGGAAACTGGGTTTTGATTTTTCAATGATTCAACAAACAAAACGAAACATTTTCTGAAGTCCCTAGGTGCTGTGGATACAAAGACAAATAGACTTCTCCCCCATACTTACAGAGCTTACATTCTGGAGCAAAATGGGCAAGGTGACTGATTAATCAGCACAACTAGCCAGGCACGTTCATATCACATTCTGTGGGAATAATCTATTTGTGTGCCAGGCTCCCCTTCACCAGCGTCCTCCCAAATCAGGCTCTACATTCCTTTATATGTAAAAAGACAAAAAAAAAAAAAACCCTTTCCTTCTCATTCATTCTATGTGTAGAACTTGGCACAATAAATGGCATCCAGATGATGATTTTTTTTTGGCAGTACTGGGTTTTGAACTCAGGACCTCACGCTTACTAGGCAGCACTCAAACCACTCCACCAGCAGAAGATAATTTTTAAAATTTCTTTTTGGTGGGACTGGGGTTTGAATTCAGAGCTTCCTGCTTGCAAAGCCCATGCTGTACGGCTTGAGGCACACCTCCTGTCCATTTTCTCTGGTCATTTTGGAGATAGGATCTTGCTAACTATTTGCCTGGGCCAGCCTCAAACTGCAATCCTCCCAGTCTCAGCCTCCCAAGTAGCTAGGATTACTGGTTTGAGCCACTGGCACCCAGCTTTTTAAATGTTATTTTAAGTGACCTGAGAGAGTGGCTATTGTCAGAGATTCCCAAGACCATCCTCAGGTTCAATGAGTCCTTAGAAGGACTCATGGAACTCATAAAAGCTGTTATATTTACAATTATAGTTTATATTCATTAAAAGGAGCAGAAAGAAAAAGCACATAGTGCAGAATCCAGGAGGGACTAGGCTTGTAGTTTCCCTTTCCTTGTGGAGTCAGAGGAGCATCTCTTAATTCTCTCAGCAACCATGTGTAACAACAGTCACAAAGTTTCTAGTTTCCTCTACCGGGGAAACTTCCCAAGCCCTGGTATAGAGATTTTGTTATGCTGCACCCACATGCCCACCAGCACAGCTGGCCTTAGTTATCAAGTCTCTAGCATCTCCAGAGGTCAAGTTGAAACCATGTAACCCAAGACCCTACCATAAGTCACATTGTTAGTATAAACTATCTGGATTGGCCCAAGGTCTCATAAATAATGACACTCTTAATCAGGTAGGATATTCCAAGGGCTAAGAGATTAGCTCCCAGGATCCAGTCAAGGACCAAACTTTCTTTAGAATGTGCAGGTTTTGTACAACTCAAACCTTCTGAGTTAATTCTTCACTGCAGAAGTAGATTTAATAAGAGAAAAGGAAGTTTCAAGAGGATGTCAGTGAATGGAATGAAACACTGAGAAGGAACATTTGTTTGAAATGTTCAAACAAATTTTTGAACATTTCTCCAAAAATGATGGAGAACACCAAGCATAGTGGTACGGGCCTGTAATCCTAGCACTGGGAAGTCTGAAGTAGGAGGTTTGTGAGTTCAAAGCCAGCCTGGACTATATAGTGAGACCCTGCCTCAAAAAAAAAAAAAGATGAAGAGTTTATTGAGTTTGATCATCAAGAGGTGGCAGATGGCCTTCATAGGAGTTGTTTCTTTAAAAGAAAGGGCCAGAAGCCACACAATAGAAGAATAAGGAGGGAAAGGAACAGAGCCTGGAGTAGTCACTGTGGACCTGGTGAAAAGTTTGGTCAAGGTGAAAAGGAAAAAGAGGTGAAAGCTCAAAGAAGGCACATGAAGAGATGATCAAAGGAAGAATAATTAGCAGATACATGAATAATTAGTAGCTACATGAATTGGCATTCTATTTATACTTTGCTTATAAAAGATGATTATTAATGTAAGTAAAATCCTATTTCTTGGCAATAACATCCAACCATAAAGCTTAGTCCCTAGTGTCAGACATTAAATTTAACATTGTTTCATTTACTTGTCATACTTTAATGAAGATGTTCTATCTTATTTTAAATGCCTCATAAGGCATGTCTATAAATGAAAGTGTATGTTGAGCTCAGGTTAATGAACTTCCTAAGTGCCCTTCCCCTCTGTGATGAGAGCAGCACTTGGTCGGAACTGACACACACAGTAATGGAGACTTATTCTCATTGCAGCATACTTGATTAAGTGCATATTTACATTTTGGGGTATGTAACAGTTTGGGGACTGTGGCACCGATCCATGGTATATGTAGATGACATCCTGTGTTGGAGAGTTGGAATATGCCTCTGCATAACTTACAGAGTTATGTCCATGTTGACCGAATTCACGAATTCATGTGCTGGAGAATATTTGTTATGTAACATGGTAGGATAGAGGGAAGTATGTCATCAAAACAAAACAAAAGTGTGATTTTTTTTTTTACGTATAGAACATGCTCTTTTTTATTTTAAAAATTATGCAAAGATTATGGGAAAAATATATGCCAACCAGTTAACCACAGTTATCTTTGGGTGCTAGGATTACAGGTGAATTTCATTCTTTCTTTTTTGTTCAACTGTAGTTTCTTCTGTAGTTTGTCTGTGTACAAGGACTGCTTGGGTAATAAAGTAGAAGTGAAAGTTCCAAGATATAAAATTCCTGAAATGTAAGTTCCAAATTTTTGTGTCAGGAAAATCTTCATCTCTCCGTTAAGCATAGAAATAATTATTCAAAATTGAGAAGGGGAAATTGGTGTAAATGCAACTAACACAGAATATCAATGTTAACATTTATGGGCTTCAGTGAACTCTGCGTAGTTATTCAGATTGTGTCCACCCCCAACACATACTGTCATTCTCAGTCATCTGGAGGATAAGCTTTTCATCAAGATACTCCGTCCTGGTCCCAGCACCTTCTTGGTTATAGAGTTTCATCTCAGATACTTCTTGATCCATTAGGATTTGCAAGCAGATAAGCTTACAACATTACACTAAGGTTTACTCAAGGCCTCTGAATTCCCGTGGGTTCACACAGATTTGTTTAGGAATGCATCTCTTCTGCTGATCCTACTAATGTGACCCACTTTGGGACTTGAGGATAGCTAAGACACCCAAAAAACTAGATAGCATTTGTTGCCCTCAACGCAGAAAAACTAATGCAGATGCTTTAAAGCGACTGGGACCAATAGGAGAAGGGGACCAGGAACTAGAGAAAAGGTTAGTTCGAGAAGAATTAACTTAGAAGGTAACACACATGTACAGGAAAGCAATGCAAGTCAACTCCTTGTGTAGCTATCCTTATCTCAACTAGCAAAAACCCTTGGTCCTTCCTGTTACTGCTTATATTCTCTCTTCTACAAAATTAGAGATAAGGGCAAAATAGTTTCTGCCTGGTAGCGAGGGTTTGGGGGGGTAAGAGAAGGGGTGAGGGGGTAAGGGAGGGGGCAGGGGGAAGGGGGGAGAAATGACCCAAACATTGTGTGCACATATGAATAAAATAAAATTAAAAAAAAAATAGAACTCAAAGTGCTGAATGCAAATAGTGACTCTTTCCCCTAATAATTGAGTATCAAAGTGACTCCAATTAAAGGCATCCACAGCATAAGGGAAATATGTTAAGACACACGAGGATTGTTTTCAGAGGGGAGGAGGTACATCACTAGCTTCTCTCTCTACTGTACAAGCTTCTGTAAGATGGTGATGTACATTCATAAAAGTGTGATTTTTAATGCACACTTTTAAAACACATTCCCCCAGAGCTGGGTGCCAGTGACTTATGCCTATAATCCCAGCTACTTGGGGAGGATTGCACTTTGAGGCCAGCCTGAGCAAATAGTTTGCAAGACCCCATCTCCAAAATAACCAGAGCAAAATGGACTAGATGTGTAGCTCGAGCAGTAGAGCACCTGCTTTGCAAGCACAAGGCCCTAAATTCAAACTCGAGTTCCACTAGAAAAAAATAAATTCCCCCAGAGAGCCTAACCAGTCATCACACTAAAACACAGCAGTGCTAGGTTAAGAGTGATGCTCAGACCCAGGCACCTATATTCTGAATTCATGGGAAACCTTGATGGGGGATATTGTGTGGCGGGAAGGAAAATAATCCAAGTTAAAGTATATATTCCAATTTAGTATTGTCATATTGGCTGTGATATTTGTAGCAAATGGTGACTTTTACAATGTAAACTTGAATGTACAAGATAAGTCACATTGCTTCCTCTAAGTCAAATTATATCTGAATTCAAATTCTCATCCCATGGTGGGTAGGGGAGTTTCAATACCAGTTATTTGCTTATGTAGGATTGGGGGAGTGACCCTCCCTGTGGTGGGCTGTGCTTCTGAAAAACTAAAAGGGACACATACATTGAAAGCCATTTATCTCTTCAACTTCCATGCCAGGCTGGGACACAGAAAAGTTTGTTTTGATTGGTTTGTTTTTTTTTTTTTTTGGCAGTTCTGGGGTTTGAACTCAGGGCCTCACACTTGCTAAACAGGCACTCTACCACTTGAGCCACTCCACCAACCCTGGACACAGAAACCTTTAATAAAGGTGGAGTCTTGTTGCTGAGAGTCTAGCCTCAATAAGAACCTCAGAGAAGCATTGCCCATTGAAGGCTCTGCCAGATCGAGCCAGTGACGTGACTTCCTAGTTCTGATGAATCTCATTTCTCCCCCTCACTGCTTCTCCTAGTATAGCCTCCTCAAGGAGATTAAGCTTGCAAGGAACAACCATCAGGAAGGGATTGTCTTCCAGAAAAGTGTGCTTTTGATTGCTACATTCTAAATCTCCTTGATAAAGAAAAACACTAAAAGCCTATCTAGGGCTGGAGGTGTGGCTCAAGCAATAGAGTACTTGTTCAGCAAGCTCAAAGTCCTGAGTTCAAATTCCAGTAGCACCAAAAAGAGTCTGTCTAAATTGGGCATGGTAACACACACCTAGAATTCCAGCCCACAGGTGGCTAAGGCAGGAAGATGGAGAGTTCAGAGCCAGCCTGGGCTGCATAGCAAGACCTTCTCTCAAATAAAACAACAAGAACAAAAAAGAAAACTGCCTAAGTTTTTTGGACCAGAGTAGGCAAAAATGTTTCGAAAAGGGCTGGAGGAGTTATCACAAAAGTAAGTAAATAAATAAATAAATAAGAAATGAGGACTGAGGCATGACTCAGTCATGCTTTCCTAGCCCTGAAATTTAAAAAAAAAAAAAAAGTTACACTAAGGTAAGTTTTGGGGTGGTGGAGTGGCTCAGGTAGTAAAATACCTACCTAACAAGCACAGGTCCTGAGTTCAAACGCCAACACTGCCAAAAAAATAAATAAATAAATAAAATGCTGTGAAAAACAAGCACAGCCAGGCATCAGTGGCTCACCTCTGTAATCCTAGCTATTTGGGAGGCTGATATTGGGAGGATCTCACTTCAAGGCCAGTACCATTAAATAGTTTGCAATACCCCATATTAAAAATAATAATATTATTAATTAATAATAACCAGAGCAAAAGTGATTAGAGAAATGGCTCAAGAGGTAGAGTGCCTGCTTTGCAAGTACAAAGCCCTGAGTTCAAACCCCAGTCCCACCCAAAAAAAGCACAAATTAGTATGTCAAATGATTATCCTGACATTAACTTTAGTTATCCATGGGTTATCAATCAGGGATTTCAGTGGTAGAAAAGACACCATATCCCAAGATTCAAACAGACACATACCCTCATTGTGCTGCCCATTGCAACTGCTGTGCGGGATCTACTAGTTGGCAGCTTCTACTTTTAAAAAACTACCCAAAGGGAATATCCTTCTGAAAGCAGTTCCCTCCTGAGAAGAGCATAGAGGAAGAAAAACCTTCTACACCCAGTTTTGCTATCACTGGCTTCTTAGTAATAGCTTGCTCCCACCAGTTCTCAAGAAAATGTACTCCGCTTTGAAAAAAAAGAGAGCTCCTGGGCAGTGACAGTCACAGGCTCTTGGCACTGTGACATTTTCCCCCTGAGATTTTCTTTCTTCTCTTCTAATTGTCTAGGAAAGCTGGATACAATGGTGACTGTGGGGAGCAGATTAAAGCCTATGAGAACTGGACACAAGCTAGGCGAGATGCAGTTAATTGCTTTTACCTGTAGGCCGAGACAGGCACAGCCCCCGGCCACGAAACAGGGAAAGGCAGAACAGTCTCCTAAATTGCGTTCAGAAAAGCAGGAATGCAGGTTTCTCCTGTTGCAATGTTATGCACTTCCCCGTGGCTCCACCTGTTTGCTGCTATAAAAGACCCCTGAAGGAGGAAGAGGGGCTTTTGCTTTGGGGGCTTTACTTTGGGCTTTTGGACCTTTTGCTTGGCTTTTGGCTTTTTGCTTTGGGGGGCTTTTAGCCTTTGAATATTGGGAAGAAGCTTTTACTTTGCTTTGGGCCTTTTGGTGTGGGAAGGTTTTGGAAGGAAAAATTGCTGAAGGGAAGAGAATTGTTGAAGGGAAAATGCTAAAGAGGGGTTGATAGAAAGTCTGCACCGAGAACTTTAACATGGGCTTCAGAAAGCAAAGCTGAGAAAGAACTTCATACATAGGCCTTAGGAAAGCTAAAGCTAAAGGAAAGCTAAAGAGAACACAGGACAGTGCACAGAGCAAGTCTAAGGACCCAGACTTTAAGAGTTATGCACATGCAGGTTGTAGGCCCAGCTGTTTGCAAGTTTGAGCACTGAAGCTTTGAGAGAGCTAAAGAGAAATGAGAGTGCAAGCCTGGGGGCAAAAGACTTTAAGAGCAAGTAAGCTAAAGATAAGCTAAGAGCAAACTTGAGACAGAGCGAGCCTAAGGAAAGAGGTTTTAAGCAAGGTTTTAAAGAACTGCAAGGAGCAAGGCCTTAAAGAATCAAGATAGAGAAAAGAAGCAATGAGGGTTGTGCGTCTCCAGCTGAGCGAACAACACACCTGACCCCAACTTCCTGCCTGTATGTCTATCCTGTGTCTTTTCTAAAATCTCCAGTCGCCTCCAGTAAAGCCCACTTAGGTCCAGTAATAACCAAGGAGCAAGAGAGAAAACCTCCCTCCAGCAAGGGAGGGAGCATGAAAAACAGCGCCCCCTTCAGTGACAATAATTGCTTTCTCTCTGTGACCTTGAAAACTTTTGTGATTATTTCTAAAGCAAAAAAAGAGATGGCAATTAGTTACATAATGAAATTGTTAAAGGATCTTTCTTTTAAAAAGTTTAGAAAAGACAAAGGAAATTTCTTCGTTGATATACCTAAAGATTCGTAATCATACCACAATAAGCATAGTATGAATACTTTCATACTTTGTATTTTACTTTCCAAATAAATACATTTTAATCTATTTATGACTACAGTAGGCATAGACTACTGTCACATTGCATTTTGACAGAAAATATGTGTATATGATTTTAAAGAACAACATGTTCCAAGTTAAATATCTACAACTTTTGTTTAAAGGTCACTTAGTCATCTTTGAATGAGAATTATCTTGCTGTCCTCTAAATTTTCTAAAACGCTCAGGCCTGTTCCCCTCTTTCTGGGAGACATATGGGAAGTGGGAGAAGCATACTTCTTATATTGAATGATATTGAATCGGTGCTCCGTAAGTGGTAACTATTGTTATTTTCATATTTACTTAATTTTTAAAGTATTTTGGTGGGTTTTTCTGGCTATAAAATTAACAAAAAAAATTTTCTAAAAAGCACTACAACATTGAAGAAACATAAACATCCACTCAACAAATATTTGTTTTAATCATAGTTATTTGAAAATATGTTTAAATGAATGGGTAAACATAGGATAATCACTGTGTATCTTTAATTTTGTTAAATGAACAAATTGACATTCCCTGTCATTTTGTTTCCTGTTTGAACATAATTCTTTTTAGCATTCATCCTCTGTTCTCTGTTCATTGGAAACTTCTAAACGTTTCCTTCTATTTAGAAGCTTCTTTCTATTTTGATTATTAATTTCTCATGTAAAAATGATTATACTGTCATAGTTTAAAACATTTTTCAACACATGGAAAAATGATATTCCAGGCAATTTCCAAATATATAAACCAAAATTTTAAGAAAAATAATTATGCTACTACAGACAAACAAAATCTGAATGCATCAAAATAATTCCCTTTCAACTATATAATCTTGCATTAGATATTCATGGGAATATTAAATTTATTTTGCCCTGGTTTTTATTTGTAAAAACGTATTTTTTTATCTATTTTTATTTCTTTAAGTGAGAATTCCAAATTTTTCTTTTTCTTTTTTTTTTGAGGCAAGGTCTGGCCTTGAGCTTTCTATCCTCCTGCCTCTACCTCCCAAGTGTTGGGATTAGAGATGTGCATTACCATGCCTGAATAAATCTTTTGTGTGTGTGTATGGTGCAGAGGAAGGAGTATCCAGGGCCTTGTGCATTCTGGGCAAGTGCTCTACCTCTGAGGTACATCCCCAGTCCCCTAAAATTTCCTTTTAAACCTTACCCTTCTCAGGTAAGAGACTGATTCTGGGACTTTCAGAATCCTTTACATTTTTCTACCAGTTTTCTCTGAACAAAACTCTCAGTGTGAACACTGGAAAATGGAAACCATAGTGTAGTTATGACCTTACTGTGTCGTCAAAGTCAAAGCCAATTTCTACGCAATAGGGACATGTTTAGTCCTTGTTAATAGCTGTTAGTTTGTTTGTATCATTGCTTTGAATATTTTAAAGTAATTTTTTATTTCCTCTCCATTATTAGATCATTTTTGAAGCAGAACGCGGCAAGGGCAAAACTGGTGAAATCGCAGTGGATGGCGTCTTGCTCGTTTCAGGCTTATGTCCAGATGGCCTTTTATCTGTGGAAGGTTGAATGTTACTGTCATCTTTTATATCTTTACATTTGGCTTTTTGTACCAGTTCTCTGGTTTTTCTTTCATATTATATCATAGGACCCCCCCACACACACTTTAGAAATACAAGCTAAAAAGTTGTAATTTACCAACAGAAATATTATTGTAAGATCCATTTCTTATATCAGATGTGCCAGTGCTTGCTTTAAGCATTGTACCACTGTGTCTTCTCATTTATTCCTGAATTTTTTCACATTGTATTCTGAAATGTGGGCGTGCCAGCTCATCTCCCCCATTCAGTACATCTGATTTTTCTATGTGAGCTCATTAACTTCTCTACCAACATTTCTAGAATAACAACAAAAAGTATAGAGAAATGTTTAAGTGTTTGACTTTTGTGGTGCTTCTTGGAAACTATGACATTAAAGAGACCTTGCATAAGTGGTTCAGCCTGATCTTTCACAGCTAAGCCTGCATATTTATAGTCTTTGTAATAATAATAACCATATATCCGTATGGTATATTGATGAATCTGTTTACTTGTGTGTATGATTATAAGCTTTTCTGGAAAATGTACCTTTTCTTCTTTTCTCTGTGGAAATATTTTATAGTCTTAAAATTCTTAAAATTCCCATTGTGGGAAAAGATGACTACTTCATTAAGTCTCAAAACTGCAATGCAAATTAGCATATGTTGTTGAACTCAAGGCCTCAGAGAACTGCTTGAATCTAAATTATTATTATTATTATTAGGTAACAGGTTTTAAAAAATACTGATGCTTTCTTTTCTATTTCCCTTTTCTCCCAAATTCAAGAGTAGCTTTGTGTGGCAATGAATTCCGAGTATATTCCCTGAGGACAGTCACTATACAGTTCCCAGTTCAGGATGGTTTGACTTACGACTTTTCAGTTTTATGATGGTGTGGAAGCAATACACATTCCATAGGAGCTGTGCTTTGAATTTTGAGTTTTGGTCTTTTCTCAGGCTGTCTTGTGGTATGATCCTCTCATAAGGCTGGGGAACAGCACTGACTGCAGCTCCCAGTCAGCCCTGTGATCACGAGCAGAAACAACCATACTCTACAGTGTACTGCATTGCTGGTGGTTTTTGGATATTATGTTTTGCATTTATGCATCCCACCATGTCTACAAAACACCCACTGTGTCTGTACATGAGTTATTGAACACTTTATTATAAAATAGAATTTGTGTTAGATAATTTTGCCCAACTGCATTCTAATGTAAATATTCTGAGCACACTTTAAATAGACTAGGCTAACCTATGATGTGCAACAGGTGAGATGTATTAAATACATTTCAACCTATGATATTTTAAACATATGATAGATTTATCAGGACATAACCCCATGATAAGTGGAGTAGCATCTATATGTTATTTAAGATTCTGCATCAGAAATAGGTCCAACACAGTTCCCAAATAGAAGGTTCCCTAGCTATTTTCCTGCTGTCGCCTATTGACAATGAAGGCACTGAGCTAAATCTCACAAGGGTGGGACAGTGAAGTTTTGGGTCCTTGTGGATGTCAAGTATATGGTGGCTTCTGCCACAGCTGAGCAACCCTGAGCTTTGGAAACCCACAATCTTATAAAAGGGCTGATAGAAAACCTACTCAAACTTTGCAGTGGAAGGAGACAAAATCCTGATTATCCTGGTCAAGAACCAAAATTCTGCCCTCCAGAAAGAAGATGCTATCTCTGTTCTTCCAGGCTGTTCACTATATGGATATCCTTGAAATGACAGTACATAGCAAAAGCTGTCAATGGCCAGGCACTGGTGGCTCACACCTGTAATCCTAGCTACTTGCAAGACTAAGATGGAGAAGATCCCAGTTTGAGGCCAGCCTGGGGAAATAGTTCATGAGACTCCATCTCCAAAATAACCAGAGCAAAGTGGACTAGAGGCACATGGTACAGTGCCTGCTTTGCAAGTGTGAAGCCCTGAGTTCAAACCCCAATCCCACCAAAAAAAAAGTTATCAGTGCCTTTGCCTTTGTGCATGAGAAGGACAAAAAACATAAGGCACTCATAGAGATTCACCTTCCAACATTAGACTCTCAGCTTTCTGCAATATGTTAGAAGAGAGGATGAGTTAGAAAGACTGGCTAGGAAACAGTCCACAACATTGCAAATAGCATCCTACCTTTGACACATTGCCCAGCTAACCTTCTCTGAATGAAGGGAGCTAGTGCTTTCTGAAACGTAACCTTTCCAGGACTGCTATTTAAATCTTGCTGCAATCATACCATAAGGTAGCAGTTAGGTGATTTAACTTCTGCAAGATAAACAAACATGGAGTGAAATCATTCCATATCTTGAGGGAGAACTATCAGTTTCAGAATATTTTATAATGTAATACTCCAAAACTGGTTATTTGTTTTTAAGTCAAAAAGCCTTGCCTTTTAAAAAGTTTAAAGTGTTTTGGAAAGCTGACAGGGTGAATTGGATAATGACTAGTAAGCATCATTTTGAGTAAATGCCGTTCCTGTGGAAGATGGAATGCTCTCAGATTGGCAGTCCAATGCAATGCTAGTTTCTCCCCAAGAAGGAATAGAGACAAGACACATATCTATTTTTAAAACTGACTTTTATTGAATGTTGGTGAATTTATTTCAATATGTTGGTTTTAAATGAGATTTAACTCCTTTGAGAAGTCTAAGGCCCTCAGGGCTTAGGCAGAAAAAAAAATTCCCCTGTGTGTACCTTTAATGAATTTGGGAGCATCATATAAATTGTCTTCCATTTCTAGGTTGTCATTTTGTTCATTTGTTTATTTGTTATGGTTTCTCACTCTCTGGGACCACTTTCTATATTATGAAAGGTCCTGGGTTAAATGTAATTAGGCAAGAGCTAGTTATCTTTTCATTCTCAGTAATTTCTTTGAGAGCCTCCAACATGTATTTCACTGATAATGTTGTTCAAACACATTTGGATTTGCCTTTATCAGGTTTAAAAAACAAGATACTTGGCATTATCAATTTGTGATTATGCATCATTTGTGACCAAAAACAGTATCACTAACCCAGAAATCCACTACGTGGTATATACCCAACAGAAATGCTTAGTAGCACTATTTGTTATAGTCCCAATGGAATAACCTACATATCCATGATTTCCATTGTGAGAACAGATAAATTGTGATATATCTATTTGATGAAATACCATAAAGTAATAAGAATGGGCAACCCAATGCTACTCATAGCAACAAAGGTGAATTTAAAACTATGTCATTAATCAACAGAATTCAGAAAGTACATATTAAATGCTTTTAGTTATATAAGGTTCAAAATCAGGTGATATTAATCTATGGTAGAGAAGTTGGAATGCGTTTACCCTTGTGGGAAGGTACTAAAAGGGAATACCAAGGGGAAACTTCAAGAAATCTGATAATTCTATTTTTTATGAGTTTTGAATAGCCACATTCACTATGTGAAAATTATTAAGCAGTGCATTTATAATCTATGCACTGACTTTTATATCTATGTGTATAGAAACATATATATATATGTTATACTTCTATGGGAATTTACTTCAAAAAGTATTACCCCCCCCTTTTTAATTTTTTATTATCATATTATTGTTGTACTGGGGGTACATTGTGACATTTACAAAAGTTCTTACAACATAGCTTAGTTAGATTCACCCCCTCCATCATTCTCTTTTCTCCCTCCCCTCCCCTTAAATAGTTTCAACAGGTCTCATTGTTCATTTCATACACGAGCACATACTACTACCCCCTTTAAGGTGAACCTTGTCTGTCTGACATTGTGCCAAATGACTTGAGACATCTAAAGTGAATTCACCCATCAATGCCAGGCAGATTGTGACTGAAGTTACACAGACTCATGTGTAATCCAGCCACCAAAGTCTCACACTGGGGATGTCTCCTGGATCCCCCACCAATGGACCCCTGGATCTCATCTGGCTGCTGGAGGTAAATGCGAGTGGAATGCTGAGTTCAACAGTCCCTGGGGCTGAGGCTTGAGGAAATCTCAATTCCACTGCTCAGTAGCCTGGAACTCTCACCTGACCCAAATTTATTGACCTTTCTGGATAGTGTTAAAAGTCTCTACACCCCCTTTTGTATCCTGTTGTCCCTTTTCAAAATTTTTTTCTTCCTAAAATGAGTCTACGCTATAGTCGGGCAGCCCTCCTCCTACACCTAAGACTCTGCACTTGCATCCTTCATTGTTTTCAGTCCTCTCTCGGAGTTCCAGCTGCGCCCTCTTGTGGCAGCCTGTGTGTGTAAGTGTGGCTGCCACGAGGCAAACAGTAAAGAGCTGTCAGTCTTCAGGCATCTTCTGCTCCCTCTTCTCTCCATTTCTCCCTTCCTACCTCCCTGATATCTTATGACCTCACGCTTCTCTCTGGATACCCAAAACCTTACAATCCGGTCACCCTCAAGACCCTGAAGAATCCAATCTTTGAAGCCCTGAGCTCAAACTCCAGTACCACCAAAAAAAAAAAAAAAAAAGAAACCCAATCTAACAGACCCTTCATTCCCTCCCAATTCATTCCTACTGATCTTACATGTTCTGTGTTTCATTCAACTGGCCTCTGACAAGTGAAGAGAAATTTCTTATAGGATAACTCAGGCATAGAGAATAAAAAGTTTCAAGTATAACCTTTCCTAGGTAATATTTCAGAATAGTAGCAACTAATGCTTTAATCCAAAGGAATGAGTAAGAAGGAAATTTCATCATCATGGTAATATCAGAGATTCTTTTCTGATTTTTCTCAAATCTCAGAGCCACATCAAAATAGCCCTGTCAGTGTTTGCAAGCAGCAAACAACAGAAACAGAGCCTAGCTAACTTACAGCAAAGGGAAGTTTCAGTAAGACTAGCAGAAGTGTGCAGGAGGGTGAGGCAGAGAAATAGCCTTGGATATGGGCTTCAGGGCTAGAAGCAGAACTGTAGACAAGGACCCATTGTAGGAATGAGCTGATTGTCACCATTGCCTGGATGATCTCTCATCATGTGTAGCCTTCACATGACTCTGTTCAAAATTCATGTTCTAGGAAAGGGTGTACAATCAGCACAGGCTGGAATCATGGAGATGCCTCTGCCTGGGGCAGAACAGGTACCAGTTTGGCCATTGAGAAGGTGACCTCAAAGCTGGGTGGCCCAATCCCACCAAAGTCCACCACATAAACCCCACATATGCAAAAGCTGGGATTGAGAAGAGCCACATGTGGTGACTCATATCTGTAATCCCATCTGCTTGGGTGGCAGAGAGCAGGAGGATTGTGGTTCAAGGCCAGTTCAAGATTAAAAGTTAGTGAGACCCCATTTCAATCAATAAGGTGGGGTGGTGTGTGCCTGTGGTCCCAGATATGTGGGAGGCAATGGGTAGGAGGATCATGGAGGCCAGCAAGTCCCTATCCAAAAAACTCCTGAAGTTATTTAGTGGTCGAGCACTTGCCTAGCAAGTGGCAGGCTCTGAGTTCAAAAACCCTAGAGCCACCAAAAAAAAAATTGGGATTGTGGACATG